CCCCAGGCCCTAAACCCGAAGCCCTACACCCTAAACTCCCTAAACCCCTAGGCCCTAAACCCTAAAACCTAAACCCTCGACACTTCAGCCCTAAACCCTTAAGCCCAATACCCTTCAGCCCTAAGCCCACCCGTTGCCCAAAGACCGGTCTACACGAAGCTGCTCCGCCAGGATACTCCGGGAGCAGCTGAAGAACGTCGCCTGGAGCCGCCTCTTGGTGGAGTTTACCTGGGAGGGGTTTGGGGTTTGGGCTTTAGGGTTTGGGGTTTGGGCTTTAGGGTTTAGGGTTTGGGGTTTGGGCTTCAGGGTTTAGGCTTTAGGGTTTAGGGTTCGTTGTTTGGGCTTTAGTTTCTGAGGTGAAATTACAGTGTTCAGGGGTTGAAGATGTCCTGAAGGACCCTTTCATCCACTCCGCGAGCAGCGATACCAACACCGCCCCCGCCTCGAATCTTCCTTACGACCATTGCTCACTGGGTAGTTCTCCAAATTAGGGTTCCCGTTTGGGTCCCCAATATAGTACGGCACCCTTCTAAAAGGACCTTAAAAGGGACCCTAATTTAGAGACCTACCCGACTCTTGACTGCTAAAGCTCAAGCTGTGGCCACTTCCTAGTCTACTGCTGCGACGATGACAACTACAACTGCGGGCATTTACTGTAACTGCTGGTACTACTAGCACTGATGCGATTGCTGCGGAGAAAAAAGCGGCAGATACTGCTGCTGTTGCCGGTGCTGCCGGTGATGCGGCTGCTGCAGCTGATGGTGAAGTTGTTACTCCCGGCCTGAATCATTGGCCAGTGATGTGTGAAAGAACTTGCTACCTGCTTCTTACATCACTTACATCTTGAAGCTACTTGCAACAAGCTTGCTGTTGCTTGCTATGGCCTTTGGAAGGCTCAATTACTGCCGGTGGCCTGCCGGCTACCACTTCCGAGCTGCTACCAAGGACCAGAAATATTATGACTCTTCTCATATATTACCTACACCATCTTGGGGTTCCTTCTTTATAGCTATACTATAAAGGGCCCCCAAACCCTATTCCAATTACAGCGAACATGGGTTTAGGGGGATCAGTGCTAGGATCCCTTAGTTTTCCCTAAAAGCATGAGGCCCTAAACCCTAAACCCTAAACCCTAAACCCTAAACCCTAAGTTGTTCCAACTTTCTGGCTTCTACTGTATTAATGCCCCTGTATCACTACCTTTCTGGTGGCTCAAGAAATGTCCTTGACCTTCGACTCTGGCTCCTGCAGCCCGAAGTGCGGCAACCGGAATTAGGGTTGAGGGTTTAGGGTTCAGGATTTGGGTTTAGGGTTTAGGGTACAGGGTTTAGGGTTCAGGGTTCAGGGTTCGGGTTTAGGGTTTAGGGGTTGCGTTTAGGGTCCCAATCCGAAACCTCCAAGCCCGAAGCCTTAAACTCCTTTTGCCCGAAAAACTCGGCCCCAAAGTCCTTAACTCGTAGAGTTCTAACTTCAGTGGCCGAAAACCCCCAGCTCCTCCAAAATCCAGGATTGGCCCTCCAACTCAACGGCTGGAGGCCGAAAAAATCGGAGGTTTAGGGGGCCTTCATAATTAGAATAGGGTTTTGGGGGTTCCTTTAAAGGGTTCCTGAAAGGTTTCTGGGAGGGGTACTATAAGGGTTTAGGGTTTAGGGGGGGGAAGGTAGTGGGGGTTGAGGTTTTGCTGGGGGCTTCTTGCGGGGGCGCTATGCGGGTGTATTGGACATGGAGCTTTTGGGTTCAGGGCCTTAAACCCTAATATATAGGGGCCTTAACAATTAGAATAGGGTTTTGGGGTACAGTATATATATGTATATATACTACAGTTATAACAAGGATCAGGCTTCTAGATTAAACCCTAAGGGTTTTGGGCCTGTCGGCGGCGCAAGATCTGTGAAGCTTCATGCCGTCGGGGCTTTGGGCTACGGCTTTGGAGCCCATGGTGGTCGGGAGAATCAAAGATACTACCCCCTTACAGTCCTCATGTGTTTATAGAATATGATAGGGCCTTGAAGAATTTTATAGAAGATAGGCCCCATATGTGATGGTAGATATTATAGAAGATTGAAGAGCTTCTATAGAAGATTAGGTGATTAGGCCCCATATCGCACCCGAGATCAGTTCAGAGCGTGGGAGACACCTGGTCATCTCCGCATCTCCTGAGCTGGCAATCGGCGAAGGTAGGAACTTCAGTAAACCAACAAGCCTAATATGGGGGCCTAAATAATTACTTATGCTATTTTGGGGGCTCCTTATTATAATTATATTATAGCAGTAACATACCCCAAAACCCTAGTCTAGATTATTAAGGCCCTTACAGTACAACCCGTAAACCCTACAAGCCCCATAAGGGTTTACGAGTTTGGGCGCTAAGGGGCTGAAGGGTTTCGGGTCGAGGCCTGACATGTCGGGACTTGCTGAGGACAGTGACCAGCAACCCTTGTAACCGGGTTCTTACAGAGTCGCAAAGTGTGAACACAAAAGAGCCTAACGCCCTCAACAGGACCCTTACGGCACTCTTTAGGGCTTAGGGTTTAGGGTTACTCCTCTTGAGCCCTATGGTGCCCCTCTACTTCAAGGATCATGAGACTTAGTAAGTAAGGTTATAAGTCCCTTAATTGGGGTTATAAGTATCGTTACCTTAGTTATAGCCCTACTTACTAAGTCCCATGATCCTTTAAGTAGGAGCCTTGTAGAACCGTTGCCAGGCCCTCCTTGCACCCTCACCCGTATGACCGCTGCTATCCTCGTCTGCAGCCCGTTTTGAACGCGTACCCTAAACCCTAAGCCCTAAACCCTAAACCCCTAAACCCTAAACCCTAAACCCTAAACCCTAAACCCTAAACCCTAAGAGAATGCAGAACGCCCATGACCCCGAATCTCCAAACCTTAAGCCCCACACCCCTAAACCTGAAACTCCCTTACAGAGCCCTAAACGACTACTAAACCTGGGAAAGGGTTTAGGGTTTAGGGTTTAGGGTTTAGGGTTTAGGGTTTAGAGTACTAAACCTGGGGAAGGGCCTTTTTTAGAAGCCGTATGGGTATTGTCTAATTTAGGGTTCCTTCGAGGGTCCCTTTTATAAGGGTGCCGTACTTTTGGGGGGACCTAAAAAGGGACCCTAATCTAGACAATTGCCCATATAGAACCCATGTAGTACCCTTATAGAAACCCTACAGAAACCCTTATAGATCCCTTTAAGGAGCCCGAGAAAGGGACCCTAATTTAGATAACCCCTTAACCCTAAACTCCTAAACCCTAAGCCCCTAGATCCTAAACCCCTAAACCCTAAACACTAAACCCTAGACCCTTAACCCTTAACCCTTAACCCTTAACCCTAAACCCCTAAACCTCTAAACCCCTAAACCCCTAAACCCCTAAACCCTAAGCCCCTAAGCCCCTAAACCCTAAAACCCTAAACCCCCAAACCCTTGACCCTAAACCCTTAAACTCTTAAGCCCTTAACCCTAAACTCTTAAACCCCTAAACCCCTAAACCCTAAACCCTAAACCCCTAAACCCTTAACTCTTAACCCTAAACCCTAAACTCTTAAACCCCTACAACCTAAACCCTGAAATCCTAAACCCTAGACCCTAAACCCTTAAACCCCTACAACCTAAGCCCAAAACTCTTAAACCCTAGACCCTAAACCCTTAAACTCTTAAACCCCTACAACCTAAACCCTAAACTCTTAAACCCTAGACCCTAAACCCCTAAACCCCTAAACCCCTAAACCCTAAACCCCTAAACCCCTAAACCCCCAAACCCTAAACCCCTACAACCTAAACCCTAAACTCTGAAACCCTAGACCCTAAGCCCCTAAACCCCTAAACCCTAAACCCCTAAACCCCCAAACCCTAAACCCCTGCAACCTAAACCCTCAACTCTTAAACCCTAAACTCTTAAACCCTAGACCCTAAACCCCTAAACCCTAAACCCCTAAACCCCCAAACCCTAAACCCCTACAACCTAAACCCTAAACTCTTAAACCCTAGACCCTGAACCCCCAACCTGGCAAGCCCAGAGACTCCAGTATCCCTTAATTCAGGAATATACCTTAAAATATAGTAGGATCCTTAATCTGATTTAAGGTACATTCCTTAATTAAGGGATATTGGAGTCTCTGGCAAGGTACAGCGCCCAATCTGGACTTATAGAACCCTTTAAAGGAACCCTATTAGTACCCTTTATAGTACCCCCTTATTGGAGTCTCTGGCCCTGAACCCCCAATCTGGCCGTTATAAAACCCTTTAAAGGAACCCTTATAGTACCCTTTGTAGTACCCTAATAGGCCTCTTCCTTAAAGCCGACAGGTACAGCGGCCCGCTGGACCCACAAACGGTGCTGCAAGCAGCCCTCGGCTCATCTTCTCGAGCTTTTTGGTTTAGGGTTTAGGGTTTAGGGGTTTAGGGGTTTAGTGGTTTAGGGGTTTGGGGTTTAGGGTTTAGGGTTTAGGGCTTTTTGGGGGGGGTTTGGCGCCTTTGTGGTCGGGGTTTTTGGGTGTTTGGGTGTTTAGGGTTTAGGGTTTACGGTTGAGGGTCTAACGGTTTAGGGTTGAGGGTTTGGGGTTTAGGTGTTTAGGGTTGAGGGTTTTAGGAGTTTAGGGTTCAGTGGTTTAGGTCGGGTTAAGGGGGTTGGGGTGTTTAGGGTTTTGGGGGTTCGGGGTTCAGTGGTTTAGGTCGGGTTTAGGGGTTTAGGGGTTTAGGGTTGAGGGTTTCGGTCGGGTTTAGGGGGTTTGGGGTGTTTAGGGTTGAGGGTTTAGGGGTTCGGAGTTCAGTGGTTTAGCTTTTAGGGTTTCGGCTAGGGCTTCAGGTTTTCAGATCTGGGACCCAGGGTTGGGTTCAGGGTGTAGGGTGTAGGGTTTAGGGTTTAGGGTTTAGGGTTTAGGGTTTAGGGTTTAGGGTTTCAGGTTTGGTGTTGAGGGTGAAGGGTTTGCCGTGCAGGGGTTAAGGTCTAGGGTTTATGGTTTAGCCCACTTGGTGCTGAAGGTTCAGGGTTTCGGGTTACAGATTGCGGGCTTCAGGTTTATGGTTATGGTATAGGTTGGCAAAAGAGGCTGCCGGCTTTCGTGGCTCTTCTATAGGGCACGTCGTGTTACGGTTAGTCGTTTAGGGTTTAGGCTTTAGGGCCTTTAGGGTTTAGGGAGCTCTCAACCCCAAACCCTAAACCCTAAACCCTAAACCCTAAACCCTAAACCCTAAACCCCAAACCCTAAACCCTGAACGCCGAAGTCTTGATTGGGTCCATTCGGGGCCCTGAACCCCTAAACCCTAAACCCTAAACCCTAAACCCTAAACCCTAAACCCTAAACCCTAAACCCCCCAAAACCTGGAGCTCTCCACCCTCAGCCGAGTAGCGGGCCAAGGGGCTGTAGGTCCGGTTTAGGGTTTGCCTTAGCCCCAAAGAACCTACCTTTTTAGGGTTCCTTGTTATATAGGTTCTTTATATAAGTCCTTAAAACGGTAATTAGGTTTTCTGGGGTTAAGGTGGGGTTCAGGGGTTCTAGTGTCGGGTTGAAGCAGAAGTCGCAAGTTGCCGTGTCTGGTATTGAGGGGACTTGATACGTCCCGCGCTGCAAGCCGAGGCAGTGTACGTCAATTGTTCTTTCCGTAGCAGCATCGGTGATCAGTGAGTTAAACCGAGATATATATACACATACACATAATTTGTTCACGGTTACTGCTAATGTTATTACTGCATTATAAATGATGTGTATGTATCATAACATATATATATATATATGTATGAACATATGTGTGTTTGGTGCTGCCCTTTTCCACGAGCTATTTCAAACCCTCGGTGATAATCCTTTTGATGAGGTTATCCGCATATTACCAATCCCAAGACTAGAACGAAGTTGCTTATGCTAGCAACCAGGAGCCACTGACTCGATTCTTTGCATCCCGGAGGTGTGTGGTGGATACACCACGCCCCCTGAAGAGTGCTCAATGCTGCAGAAGGGACTGCCCCCAGGTGCATCCCATGATCCGACCTCGGGTTCAGGGTTGCTAATGTAGAAGAGTTACTGTAAGGGTGCACGGGCACTTATTACCTGATGTAGTTCTCCTTCTGGAGTCTGGGTCACTATGGGAATGCGCTTTTTGTTGGTTGTTGTTGTTATCGTTATCCAATCGGTTTGTACAATCTATATGGATGTACGTTCATATGGGTAACATATATATGTATGAGTACGACAGATCACAGGGTGCCAAGCACACAAACTCCACATTATATATCATAAGACGTAAGTCTGCAACCAAGCACGTGTAACTTATAGTCTAAGTTGTATCGTCCTACGAATTAGAAATATATACGAGTAAAAAGAGCTTGTTTTCGAATCTCTTCTTATAGCGGTTCCGTCATTTGACCCACAAGATAAGGAAGCCGAAACCACATATAACATATGTAGATACATACACATCTAATACAGGTGTATATGCGAAGATGCGTATGCCATGAATCGCATTGGGCAAACCGGGCACCTGGCAAAACACCAAGATAGTACTCACTCTTATATACATATGTGCAGAAATGTAAGCACAAATGTATACATATATATATATATAGATGTTTCTTTGTTTATTTATTTGTACATGTATGTATACAAGTGCTAGTTTATCTGTTTGTATATATATATATACACATGAATGAATACCCACATATATGTAACATATGTATACGTGGTGTATGTATATGTAGAAATATATATGTATGTAACTGGGTAACACAAATTCTTAGGTATCGGGCATATACTTTCTGTGTGCGTACACCTTGTGCATGTGTGGATATAGGTAGATATATCTGTATATATATATATACATATATATATATATATACACATACATATGCGCTCAGGCATGCATGAATGGACGGATGCGTGCATATTCAAGCATGCTCACATTGACGGTAGGTAAACAGACAGACAAGTGTGGAGAAAGACATGCAGGAACAGGAGCCTTGAATCCCAAACCCTCACCTCTAGCCCTAAACCCCAAACCGTAAACCCCTATAGCCCTAAACCCTAAACCCTAAACCCTAAACCACTAAACCCCAAACTCCTAAACCTTCAACAGGAGACATGAATCCCAAACCCTCACTTCTAGAACCCGAAAGCCCTAAGGCCCTGATCCCTAATCCCTTAGCCGCACACCCTTACAAAATTCTTGTGAAAACCCGTACAGTAACTCCTTTATAGAACCCCCCTATCATAAACCCTAAACTCTAAACCTCTATAAGTCACAACAATTCTAAATCCCTCACATCCT